CGCCAGCCAACTCCATTGACTCATCATCTCTCTTATTGAGATAACTAGCTCTCTTCTATTTATCTATATATATATATATATATATATATAATTATATATATATATATATATATATCTAGATAAATAGAAGTGAGCTAGTTATCTCAATAAGTGAGTTGATGAGTCAATGGAGTTGGCTGGCCCATGGATATATGGAATAGGCTAGGCTAACTTTTTAACACTAAATAAATATTATGAAAAATTAATGCCCTTGGGCTGACCCTATCCCAATGAACTTTTGGGACATTTTGTCCCCCAACTCACACAAGCCAGGTCCAAAGGGTGGGTTGGGCCATTTTGACAGCTTTAGTATTTTGCTTGGGTTCTTCTTGAAGGAATTGTTATATTGGTCATACTTGATGAGCTTCATTGGGGATGTGTTGGACTGCTTGATTTTCCCTTTTAACCAATGTTCTGTGAATCTGTGCTGAACTTTATTATTCTGTTTTATTGAGTTTGCTATATAGCTAAAAATTATGAGTGTTTTGTATGTAATTATAGTCTTTTGTTTTTTGTTGCTTTCAACATGTGCTCAACTGCAGCAACATGGTCCTCTTGTCATTTTTTCATGATTATTTACTTCTCTACCTACTTATATGTGTCTCATCATTGTGGTTTAGCGACCAGAATCTGTGAAGATTGACGCATATGATGTCAATGGAAAAAGGTTTTCGGTCAATTTGTCTGACCTTCCTGCACGGATATTCCAGCACGAATTTGACCATCTGCAGGTCTGTTTTTCTACTTGGACATATAATGCCACTAGTATTTTCGTTTGTGCATTATACTAAAATAAATTTTTATTTTATATAGTTAAAATTCATAATTAATAAATATTTTTGAATACATAGATTATATCATAATTAAAATTTATAATAAATAAATATATTTGGATAAATAAATTAGATGTTGAAACTTGAAATTATTTAATTGTGATATAAGGTTATACTATTGACAATCTTTTTTAAAACAATACTATTGAAATTCAATTTAGAGATACAGATAAAAGATGATAGGTCTAAAGAGATACACAACTAAGAAGTTCAAGTGTACAAATAAATATAAATGGAGGGTACTTTTGGATGGTTAAGAGAGAATATTTTTTGCTAGTCGCACGAGTAGTATGTCAAATACACCTCAAAGGATTGTATTTTAATATATAATATAGAAAGTAAATTTTTTCAGATGAATTTGGTTTTTGACCTTGAAATTGAAAGCACTTATCACGGATTGTGGAATGCTCTAGAACCCATGGATAGATTTATTCTAGGGGTGTGTTTGATATGCATTAAGATATAGAATAATGAGAACAATACAAGACAAGTGCTCAGGTTACTGGACAATGTTTTGTTCTGTGCATTGTTTGGGAGATAATGAACAACACAAATAAAATAATAAATTTATTACAATATTATTTTTAATATTAATTATTATAATGAATTAATATTATCTTAATGGAGACAATAGTGAATTGTGATGACAAAAGAGCATTAGTGGTGGTGGTAATGGTATCGATGACGCCAATATCAACAATGATAGTGACAAGGTGTGAAGGTGGACGACGGTGGTGGGTTGTAGTGGCGGTGGTAGTCGACGACAGTGGTGGTAGGCGGTGATGTTGTTGGTGTTGGGTGGCGATACTAAGGGTTGGGGTGACCATGTTAGGACATGATTTTGTACTTGGGACACAAAGTTGTTGGGTGATTGACCAATTTGGGACACTTTCCCAAACTATTTACGTAAATGGGGCTGTGTTTCAAACTATGTATACTTTTGGGACATTTTTTAACGGTGTCGCTATGGGCTATAGCGACACTAGTGACACGTGGATTTTTTTAACTCTAAAGAAGCCATGAAAGCCATATTTACAATGTCGCTATAGCCTATGACGACACAAAACGGCTTCAACGAAGTCGCTATAGCCTACCGCGCCACATTTTTAATATAAAATAAATATTTAAAAAAAATATAAGTAAATAGTTTTTTAAAAAAAACGAAAAAGGAGGTTGTTATAGCCTATAGCGACACAATGTCGCTATAGGCCATAGCGCCACTTATTTAAATATTAAAATACATAAAATTAAAAATATATATATAAAATAAAGAAATTACAGAGAAGATAAATATAAAAATATAAATTTATATTAAATTCATAATATAAATTAAAATTTGAAAAAAAGAAATTAAGTTAATCATTTAAAAAAATAATTTACTGGAATTAAATAAATTTTTGTAAAATAATTTACTGGAATGTTGAGTATATAATAATTTTTAACAGATATATTTTATTTGAAAATTGTGTATAGTGTATAATAAAAAATGAAAAAAATAAATTTTTTCTAAGGATAGAATTTATTTATATAAATGGAAATAATAAAAAACACAAAAAAATGAATTATAATATAATTTTTTAAAAATAAACTAGTACAATAAATCTGGAGATAAAAAAAGATCCAATAACCCAAAAAAACAAAAATTTTTATAAAAAAAAAAGGCTGATGTCGCTATGCACCATAACGACACACATCAGCCTTTGTTTTTTTTTTTTTTTCAAAATTTTCGTTTTTTTTTTCTACCTAAAGTCGCTATGGGCTATAGCGACAAAAAGTCGCTATGGCCCATAGCGACATCAGCCTTTTTTTTGTTTTAGTTTTTCATTTTTTTCTACCTTTGTTTTTTTTTTTCAAAATTTTTGTTTTTGGTCAATAGGTCATTTTTTTCTCCAGATTTATTTTACCAGTTTTTTAAATAATTATTTTTTGTGCGTTTTTTATTTTTTTTTCCTTCAGTTAATTAAAATGCATCTGTAAAAGGAAAAAATAAAAGAAAAAATATCAAATATCAAATTAACTGAACGAACAAAATAAAAAAAATGCATAAAAAAATAACAATAAAATATAATTTTTCAAAATAATATATAAAATAAATCTAGAAAAACTTTAAAAAAATAAAAATAAAAAAAGGAAGTCGTTATGGCCTATAGCAACTTTGTGTCGTTATGGGTCATAGCGCCTCCAGCAAATATATAAATTTTATTTTAAAAATCTTCTTTTGTTGTACAAAAATTATGAATATATTTTTAAAAATCAAATTTTAAATGAATTATATTTTAAATAATATTTTATTTCTATTAAAAATTATTTTTTATTATAAAATTTAGCCATTTAAAATGGTTTTGGAGCCTGTAACGACACTAGTTAAGTCGCTATAGACCGTAGCGACTTCTACGTGGCTAAGTTAAAGCCGTTCTCAATTTAAAAAAAAAATTGCCACGTGGCAAGGATGTCGCTATGGCTCATAGCGACATTGTACAAAATAGTCTCAAAGGTGTAAATAGTTTCAAAACAACCCCATTTACGTAAATAGTTTTAGAAACTACCCTACAATGGTCAATCAGCCAAAGTTGTTGCATGGTTTATTGAATAACAAAAAAATTGGACTTTTGTCATGTCCTTCTTTATCTTTTTTATCCTATTCCATGACTCTTGTAAATCAAATGCAAGATAAGTATATTTGTCTTATTCAGTACCATAATTTTTAGTGAATCAAATGGACTCTATGATTTGATATAGTAAGAGGGTCTGATTCACTAATGCAAAAGTTGCATATGCAGAAGTTCCAATAAGATAGATCCAAATGCTGCAAATCTAATTTTTCATTCTTTCTCAAATCCTTGACTTTCTTGGAGAAACCAAATATACTAGGGGGAAAATTACGTGACTCTATAACCCTAATGTTAGACTATATGTATAGGCCACTACTGTAATTATCTGGCCACACTTCATATTGCATTTCACCTTGTTTTGTTTATCAAGGGAAAAAATTATAATGGCAGATTGTCTATTTATTCACGGAAGCCTTCAATACTAATGAAAATATTGTAGATATATTTACCAAAGCGCTTCATTGGAGTGGGATCATTGTGATCGACTATATTTAAAACAATTTGGGCTGTTATGTCTCCCTGTTACACTAATCAATCATATCAGTGGTGATTTTTCCATCTACAATCATTCTAATGATGACTTCTTTCTCACAAATGAATCATACTACTAGTGATGACATATGGTGGGTTGGTGGCTATGAAGCCTTGTCTTTGTGCTAGATACAGTCTAACCCTTATTTATTATTTTTTTCAATAAACATTCTAGCCTTCATCTTTGCCTCATTGCAGCCTAGCCCCTATCTCAATCCCCTAGAGATGTCGTCACATGCATTGCATTATATTTTAGTTTTTTTTTTAAATTTTTTTTAGAGGGTTTAATTGTAACAAGCTTAAAGTGTAGCAAGGTTTTGCTAGAGAAGGAGTGTGCGAATATCAAGAAAATGTCTCAGAAAAAAAAAAAGAAGATTAATGAAGGAAAAAACCTGAGTGTATCTCACTTTGCTAAGTTCTGCTTCAACTGTGTATTTATATTTAAATCAGAAAAACAGAGGTAAAATGAGTAGAAAACATACAAAAAGAAAGCAAGTCTGACCCCTATGAGATTATGACAGCCAACTACAACAGTGAAAAGTTAAAAATTAGCTTTATACAAAACAGATAGGTGATGCCATGGCTGATTCCCGTTGTCAAGAACCAATGTTGGAGGAAATGACTGCTTTACACGCCAGTGACACTTGGGAACTAGTTCCCCTACTCCCCAACAAGACTACTGTTGGTTGTCACTGGATTTAAACAATGAAGGTTAGCCTGAATGGTAATATTCACCGTTTTAAGGCTCCCTTGATGGCTAAGGGCTATACATAAATTTTTGGTCTTGATTATGGAGATTTCTTTTTCCCAATGGCCAAAATGTTCTCAATTCATCTTTTTCTTGCTATAGACGCTATCCGCCATTGGCTTCTTCATCAAATTGATATAAAAAATGCCTTGCATGATGATTTTCTAGAGGAAGTTTATATGGATCAACCATTGGGTTTTACTCTATCAAGTGATTCTTGTCTTGTCTAGTGTCTTTACTGCTCTCTCTATGGATTGAAGTAGTCCCCCTGCCTGGTTTGGCTGCTTTAGCTCTACTTTGCTCAAAATTGGCATAACTCGTTGTGAAGCGGATCATTATGTATTTTCCCTCCACTCTTCGTCTGGAAAAATGTATTTATCTTGTGCTCTATGTTGATGACATCCTAAACATAGGTGATGACTCGACAAGTATTCACCAACACAAGTTCTAAAGCAAGTATTCTGTAGACATTTAGAGTGAGACCAGTATGCTTGATTGTCACCCTAGTGATTCTCCTATGGATCCCAATGTCGAGTTCTTTTGGGTCAGAGGAGCCATTGACTGCTTTATTGTCGCTAGACCAGATATCATGTTTGTAGTGAGTGTGGTAAGTAAGATCTTGAATGCCCCTTGTGATAGTCATTGGGGTGTTGTTATATGCATCCTTAGCTACATCAAAAGTGCACTAGGCCACAAACTTCTATTTGAAAATAAAGGCAATGCCAAAATCATTTGTTACTTTGATGTTGATTGGGCAACATTACCATTAGATAGGAGGTCCACTTTAGGGTATTGTGTTCTTATTGAAGGAAATGTGATCTCATGGTAAAGTAAGAAGCAAAATATAGTCACTAGATCTAGTGTTGAAGTTGAATTGCTACGGCAGTGGTCGCATGTGAGATTACATGACTTAGGCAACTTCTCCAATGACTAAACTTTGGAGACATTCATGACACTAAACTTATTTGTGATAATCAAACTACTCTCCAAATTGCATCAAATTCGATCTTTCTATGAACAAACCAAGATAGACTATCATTTTATAAGAGAGAAAGTGTTCTTTGGGAAAATCACTACTAACTTTGTCAGATCTATAGATCAATTGGCAGACATGTTCACTAAATCCTTCAATGGCTTATGTTTGGACTACATTTGTAATAAGCTTGGCTCATATAATATTTATGCTTCAGCTTGAGGAGTGTTAAAATATGCCTTTATTGCATGTAAATATGGAAATATGTAATGTATCCATTGCTAGAAATTTGGGATTGATTTATTCTTTGTATCCTTAATTACTTCTTATCTTGATTATAAATCAAGATCAGATGTGTGGTTATTTGACACATTAAAATAAACATTTTTATATGAACGACATGCAAATTTGGCTCAGCTTGCTTCCACCTACTCTTTTATAAAATGTCTGTCAATTTCTACATGCTTGGTTTGATCATGCTGAATTGGATTCTAGGAAATACTAATTGTAGCCTTGTTATTGCAATACAACATCATGGGAAGAGTCATAGAAAGTTGCAACTCTTTTAAAATTCTTTCAAGTCATAAAATATCACAAGCTCCGTGTGCCATTTCCTATATTTGGCCTCTACACTACTTCTAGACTTAGCATTATGTTTTTTGCTTCTCCAAGTAACCAAATACAATTCAAAGACAGAACTAAAATAACACATTTCTTATAATACATTGAACTGATTCTTATTGAGTATTAATACGATTCAATTCTCTACAATATGCTTCAATGTCCAACACGTGTGTACATAATTGCTCTATCTTTGTGGGAATTGTAGAAATAGTTTATTTTGCATATATTGTATACTTTAATACTTCAGCTGTTATACAATTGTACAATATTTCGAGTGTGTTTATTCAAAAAATTTCCCTTAAATATCATTTTTGAAATATGTTAACATGTTTGGATAATATTTTAAAAAAAATCCTGATTTATATATATAAAAAATCAGATTTTAGATTATTTTAGGAATCTATAATTTAAAAAAACCTAAGGGTGTGTTTGAGAAAGTTGTGAACATTCGATATTTCAATAATCGATTATTGTTATAATTGATAATCAAAATGAATTTTGTTTGGGTAAATTGGCTAAAAAGAGATTTTGAAATATTTAATTTCATTTTGATACAACAAAAAATTAGCTTTTATATGGTAAATAAGTTCCAGAAGAGCAAAAGCTGTTGAAAAATAATTATAAGCTTAAAATTTTCAGATTATTGAAACAGCTTATTTTTCACGAAAAACAAAACTGCTTACGAGTTTAAGCTGTTTGCCCAAACATTCAGCTTTTTTCTAAAAACCACTTTTTTCTCTAAAAAAGTCACTTTTTTAAACAATCACTAAGTCACTCTTTTTTTTTTTTTTTTTCCTCGTAAAGCTTAAACAAACATACCCTAAACTTATACATAGTCTACTTTCTTGAGGTGTACAATGATGCACATTCACAAAAAAGGGTTTCTCTCTCTGCATGTGTGGCACTTGTATTAGTGGTGCTGCACCTATTATAAACCTACACTATTACTCAGTAAACATTTCGGGTTCACTAAGTTAGTGCATCCCATTATTCATCAACCTTCTCTCCTTTGCTCTTCTATGGATTTCTTCACCTGATGATATGGCTGAGTTTTTTTTCATAGCCAAACTTTTAGCCATATGCTTACATATGATATAATTGTTGTGTTTGCAGGGAATTCTTTTCTTTGAGAGAATGAATGAAGAAGTTCTTGATAGTATTCGTGGACAGTTACAGGTTAGAAGTAACACATTAACACTCCTTGTCTTGTCATTTTGTCATCAGTAATCGACCCTAATTTCTACTTGTAGCATTGCTTTACTTTTTTAATTTAGAAAAAGATTCATGGCAAAGGTTGAGCCTTGGCCTATGATGTCACAACAAAAGTAATAGCAACATAATCATCCTCGTACACTAAAAATACAGTCATATCCCCTGAGGTTGATTGTTTGATGAATAAAGTATGGACTCCTTTGACTTTGTATCCTTAGCTAACATGAGCTTGGTAAATCTCCCAAACCATGCCCAGGGGGATTGTTTCAACCCATAAAAAGTTGTTTTCAAACTGCAAACAGAATGGGCAACAACTTCATATTCTGGGGGCACCTCCATATAGATGTTCTCCTCAAGCTCTCCATGTAAAAAGATATTTTTCATATCAAATTTTTGCAGTTCCTAGCCATAATTTGCAACGAGAGACAATGTTACCCAAATTGTATTCATCTTTGCAATTGGTGCAAATGTCGCTGAGTAATCTATCTCATAGGTCTGAGTCAAACCTTGCAACCAGCAAACAGCCTTGGCTTATATTTCTCAGTTGACCCATTCCCATAATTTTGCAACAAGAGACAATATTACCCAGATTGTATTCATCTTTGCAACTGGTGCAAAGGTCTCTGAGTAATCTATCTCATAGGTTTGAGTGAAACCCTGCAACCAGCAACCAGTCTTGGCTTGTATTTCTCAATTGACCCATCTTCCATATATTTTACTGTATATTACCATTTGCAACCAATTGACTTATTTTCTTTCGGCAAAGAAACTAGCTCCCGCGTTTTGTTCCTTTTCAATGCCTCCATTTGTATATATGTGCCTTGCTTCCAATTTTGTCACATAATGCCTCAATAACATTATTAGTGGGAATTGAGATTGAGTTTTGGTTTGCAAAATAAGGTTTTCTAGGTTGGAGAAACTTTGTGAAATGAGAGATAATTTGAGAGAAAGGTCATTATCTAGGTTTGGGATTTCTGTTTCACTTGGGGAACCTAAAAAATTATCTAGTAAAATTGGAAAATCAAAATTTGTTACCTAATCAAAAGGAGTTGGATTGATCTCTAAAGCATGTGCTGATTCAGGAATGTTATTTGTTCTTGTGTTGAACCTACCTATACCAAGTATTATCAAGGCATCGTGGAAAAAAAGTAAAGGAATTCCTATTTTCAACAAATTACGCTGCAACCATATATACACCAAAGTTGGCTTCACTCCTTCAACCAAAACCAGTAAAGCAACACAACCAAAACGGTTCCAAATCCAATACCTGTAACAAACACAACACTCCTAAAATGCCATGGAAAGAATTCTTCAAATAAACTTATCCGAAAAGACTGGGATCCATTCAATTGTTGGATCAAACTGATTATATCTGTATTTTTGGAGAACCAAAATTTGTGTTTACTCAAAACTTACATATTAGTAATAAGAATAACAAACCAATCATTCAAGACTATGTATCAAATTTCTATTTTCTAATATTTTATTTCAACAGTCAGACAAATTGAAGATCTATCATGTCTACAATGAGTACACGTGAATTAAATACCAGAGAGAATATTTATATTTTTTTTTTGTTCAAATTATTACAGGCCCTAGAAACGAAGTACGAGGGAATGACTGGACTCCCAAGCCCTGAAAATATAGGAAACCACAGGAGGAGAAAGGTCGCCGTTGGTTTTGGGAAATTATGATCTTCAAGGTCTTTGTGATGATAAATTTCATTTTTCCCTTTTGCACTGATATATAATATTTACATTGAATTGAAAACTGCTTCTTGATTATCTTAAAGGTCAATATTAGGCATAATACTAAATTCATCACATACCAAACATTTTTAGTTTGAAGTCCTTCATAAGATGAACCATAGATTTCAGATACTGTATATGGTTGGTTATATGTTGAAGATGTATCATTTATATAGAGAAAGTGGACTAATGACACTGATTATCACTATACTCGACGAGTTTTCTCTAGGTGCACTTCCTTGTATTGGTGCCATTGTTTATACATAGTCATGGTGAGACATCTCCATTATAACAATGAATTGTTATTTCATGTTGCCCTGAAGGGGAGAATTGTCTTGAAGGGCTATTTCCTTTATTCTTTTGCTTTCTATTATTTTAATCTATTCTAAATATTTAGCCCTAGTGCTGATTGGGAGTTGATTTTATTTTTCTGTAGGCATTTACAATGTATTATTTTTATTACTTGTAAACAGTTCACTGAATAGAGGAAAACCTTTTTTTATATGGTTTGCTTCCAATATCCTAAGGCAGTAATTTTTTTGTAATATTGGGGTAATTGCACACGGTAATAACTTGACAAGTCTTAATGATTATCTCTGCCCGTGTGGATGGGGCTGCTTTCTTTAGAATTCTTGTGCAATCTACACTATTTATACTTATTAAATATAGTGATATGATTATTTTAAAATATATAAATTACGATACGTATAAAATATATATCATTATATGTATGAAATATAATAAATGTGTGATTATAATTTTGATCGATATTTATAAATATAATTGTTATTTTGTAAATTCAAATTAAAAACATATTTATTATACATTACTTAAAATCAAATAAATTATAAATTATTTTATAGTAAATTATGTTTTTATTATTTATAAATAGAAATAATATTACCAATTTCATTTCTTTCATAAAATTAGTTATATAGAAGATAATTTTCATTTATAATTCATGAATGGTCAATTTTTTATATATTAAACATGTTTATGTCTTATTTAGTTGTAATGAATATTTTATAATTTTTAAAAATTTTGGATATTTTATTGATAATTATTACCAATAAGTATCAATAAAGAATATGAGAGATACTAGTTGAATTTGCATGCATAACATTTTGAGAAACAAAACAAAAGTTCTAAGAAAAATTACAAATAAAAAATAGAAAGACACTTTTCTTATAGGTGGTTGAGGAGAGGTCACCATATGAGGAAAGGAATATGGTATACTTCCAATGAAACTGTTTTATGAAAGATCTCTGAATGACAAAAAGTAAATTATTGATGATAAACATGACACCAGTTTGTACCTATAATAACATCTAGTTGACTAACAGAAAAACAAATCAAGTCAACTATAAAATTTATATATCAACAATTTTTAAAGGGCATTTAAGGCATACATCAAAAGTAGAAATTAGTCCACTATTTGGTGTTTCAATTGCAAGTTCAAACTTCGAAGAGGACACGAGCAATTTAAGCTTTGAAACATAAACATGCAATATAAAGGAATGAGTCGTACTAGAATCAAGTAAGACAATAAAAGGGACTCCATCAATGAGACACATACTTTGGATCAAGTCATCCCAAAGAGTCTCATCTTAAAGTTGTAAAGTGTATCTTTAGATATCTTGCAAGTTCTACTAACCTTAGTTTGTTCCATCAGAAAAAATAATGATTTCAAATTAGTAGAATTTTGTGATGCTAACTATGCTTCAGACAAAATTGAAAGAAAAAACATAAGTGACGAATGTCTTTTTTTGGGTAGCTGTCTCATTTCACGGGCTTGCAAGAAGCAAAATTCAATTATTTTCTTCACTATAGATAAATATATATATATATATATATATATATATATATTATATATATATGATAGTTTAATTGTTGTTAGAATTATGAGATCCAATTAAATTTTGCATGTAACAGATAAAAATGTCTGTTATTATTTAGATTCAAAGTTGCAAAATCTTAAGATAATGTATTAATTGAGTTTAACTTTAACACATTTTTTAATATATTAACTATTTATTCAAAACATAAAATTTGGTAGATCCTTTTTTATTTAACGAATTTTATAATTTGTAATAGTACATTTTGACCATTAATAAAGAGTTTTACAATGTTTGACTCTATGATTGCTATTATTTTTAATGGAAGAAACAAATTGATAATATCATATATTTTGTAGATGTGGATTTATGCATACATGAAACCCAATTGCTTCTTTTATCATTCATGGTAGACAACAACATGGAAACTTCTAAAGTAGAGAAATAAGGGAAATTAGTTATGGCATCTTCCTCTATTCTTCTTAGCCACCCATTTATTAATTTAAATTATATACATAAATATAGTGATGCGAATTTGTGAGTACCTATGGGTTCCCAAGGAAACCCTAAGGATTAAAATACAAAGCAAATTATTAGAGAAATAATTATTAAAAAATCCTTAGAGTATAATGAATTAATTAGATTATAGATACCCTCTCTTATCATGGATTCGTGTAAATTGTAGGATTTAGCATATAAATGGATCACAATTATGTAGAGTGAGAATTTACTAATGTTGTACCAAGCACCACTTGGGGCCACTAGGCACGAAGAACACAAAATGCTTGGGACCTAGTTGATGTCAAGCGTGATCTTGGTCATGTTGGGTGTGGGAATTCCAAAAGCTCCTTGTTGTGCTTTTGCCAAGCGCGTGGAAGGTCACACTGAGTGTGATCCTTTTAGAGGCTCTAAACCTTGATCGTGCCATGCGGACTGTAAGCTATGTTGGGCATTACCTTGTTCTTGAAAATGAATCTTATAGTTATTTGCTTAATGAATGTGAATAGACTAATATATAAACCTTATGAACTAATGATTGGGATAGGAATTATGTGCATAGTATTGGAAATTGAGAATGTATATAATGCTAATGAGAGCTTATGAAATTGTGAAGTATGTGATATGTGATAAGTAAGTGATCATGTGAAAAAACCTAAAGTATAACTTAGTAGTGATGCAATTTGTGAAATGTGAAACCTTGTGAATGCTAGATATGTGACCATGCATAGAGTCTATGACATGCATCATTTGTATATCGTGTTTTTATGATGGGTACAACGTGAAATACAATACTAGAGAAGTTTCCCATTGTGTAAAAGCTTGATGATTCATGACCCTAGAAATAATTGGGTTTGGGAGCCTTAGTCTTTCCACATTTGTGTGTATATACGACACATTTGTCTCGACACGCCACTAGTGTATTTTCTCTTAATATAGAGTGTTGTGATGACTTGACTTGGCTTGAACTCTTAGGCTACTTAGCCTTCGGACAAGGATAAAGTAATTTTATTGGTGCCACGTGCATGTAGCTTTGGAAAAGTCTTGTCTATTGCATGGACATAACATATCTATTATTTATGAATAAAAAAGTTGATTGATATTGAGATGTGAGAAATAAACCTTGTCGTAACTTGTGATTTAAGTATAAGACCTAGTATACTTGACTATTGAGAATGATAAAATGTGATTGATTATAATAATTGTTGTCATTCAAATAGTGCAATTGTTATGTTTGTGTATGGCTAATTTATTATTTTCTACATTGTTAGTTGGAGTGAGATATTTTTCACTTCCTTTTTCTTTTTGTAGTTTTGTTTTATTATATTTGACCAGGTGAATTTAACTATATAAGAGTTTTGAGTTTTATGTTGGGATCACTCTGATAGGATATGTCATCAAAGTTTTAGTTAGGGATTATTTTCATTTATCATTGACTTAGGAATTTAGTTTCTTTAAGATGTTTCCACTTCAATTAGTACTCTTTGTAATTGCTTCTAGTTGGAGTCTTGATATTTTTAAGAGTTGTAATATGATAGCTTTACATTTAATTCCTATTTAGTTAATGAAGCATTTTTCAAACTACTATTTTTATATTATTGGATGTATGCACGAGGAGTAGAGTGTATCACAAATATTAGTAAAAATTAGTTAGCAATAATGTTAAAATTATTTTTCAATTTAAGTAAAAAAATTGATTTTATTTAACTAATATAACTTTTAAATGAATTTTTATTTATTTTAAATAAAATGTTTTATAAATAAAAGAAATTAAAATGTAAAATTATGAAGAAAAAAAATTAGTTATTTAGTTAATATAGGAAATTTAATAAATGAGAAAAATTTTACTGCATTATCCAAACATCAGAATTTGAAAATGAAAAAATTTAATTTTATTAGCTAAATACAATAATTTAAAATAAAAAATAATTAAAACAATTAAAATTCTTGAAATTTAAAATTCGCTGGAATCCTAAAATCTTAATCCAAACACAACCTTAGAAAATTGTCACGTGTCCCGCGGCAATTTGGGTAATCAATTTGCTCCATTTTATCGTCTAGTCAGCTTTCTACAATGTCGATTCCAACATTCCAAAGTTGCAGCAAATTGTTTGTTTGGTAGTGCACGTTCTTCTTTATCTTCTATAATATTAAAGAACACTTTTTTATTATGAATTTTGTAGTTAGATTAAATAAAACATTTACCTAACATGACACATATTTTAGTTAAAGTAACGATTAAACTTCTTTTGTGAAACTAATTTTGTGGGTAAAAATTGCAAAAATAAATTTCTAAAGAAATTGTATTTACATATTTTTATAATGACAAAATATATAAAATAAGATTAATAATATAATTAAAAAAATAAAAATAATTCATCTATTTATATTAAATACAAACAATTATATTGCATGACAATATTTTTAGACACTTTATTCAATATGAAATTTTTAGAGTTTCTTATAAATTTTCATCCATATCAAATTTTATCATTATATTTATTTATAAATTAAATTTTAATATTTTAAAAATAAGTTATAAATAATTAAATATAATCTTGGATTAAATATAAATTTATTATCATAATATTTAATATAATTTAATATTTAAAATATTTATTTATACTAATTTTAATTATAATTTGAATATTTTAAATGATTTATATTTCAAAATAATATTTATTTTTATATAATTTATTATAAATTTTAGTTATATATAATAAATCTTTACATTCCCTTTAGTACTACCAAAATGATATATAAATGATACAACTTTGTTTTGTCCATTTAAGATTATAAAAATAATAGTAACTTATGATAAATCCTGTTCATAAAGAGTATCTTTTGTAATAATGAACAAAAAAAAATAATATGATAAATCATAAAAATAAATAAAAGTAATTAAATTAAATATTTTTAATTAATTCTACCATAAATTTAAATCATTTTATAAAGATACCATTTATTTTAAGTATTGTTATGATTAATATTTATAACAAAAATAGAGTTAATAATAAATTAAAGATATACAAGAGATTAACTTCTAAGAGACATTAAAGATTAATAATTATTACTTATATTTAAAGTAAGATAATTAATTTAATTTATCAGTTACTAGTAAAATAAAGACATGAAATCATGCTTTGTGAATATTATGTATGTGGAAATTATAAAATTACAGTTTATTAAAAAAAAAACGTTTTGGATAAATAAAATTACTGAAATATTCTATATTAAAAAAAGAGGATGTGTGACTACTAAAATAAATAAAGGGTAAAAATGTTTTAAAAATGTATAGATGAAAAAATTATATCACCTTTATATATTTATTAGTGGGATTATTTCTATATTTATTTAAAATATTTAAAAATTATTAATATTTATTAAATTAATTAATATTATGTTTAATCTTCAAATATTAAAATCTTATATTTAATTAACTTTTAATATTATATTTTATTATTTAAAATATAAAAATAAAATAATTGAAAAATTATATACACGAAAATAAAATATTCCTTTTATGATATGTATAAATTATTTCAATAGAATCGACCGTACCTCTATAACTTATTTAATAAAAATATTTAAAATTATCTATGTTTATTAAAAATTGCCAAATTGTACACCAAATTAGACTATCTTCTTATATATCTTACAGATAATCAAGGTTTATATTAATAAGGCATCTTGATTTTTGTACGCATAAACTATAATAGTATTGTTACATTACATGTGTACACGAAACAGTTAGCAAGAAAAGTACGCAACAACATTTATGTTAAATTCAACGTTAACAGCCTAGCCATGGCGCGCCTTCCTGACTGGCACCCACGTGACAGCTTTATCTTCAACTCCAACTCCTACATCCCAATGCCCCTGTCAAATCATACTTATGTTCTACATAATAATTTAAACAAACAATCACTCTTCTTCTCGCTAAGCCAATAAGCCTTGGCTTAGCGGGAACATTTTCTTCATTATAATATTATTATTATTATTATAATAATGTTACTATTATCAGTTATCACCTTTCATTTGATTCCCTTACTTTATACCCTTCTTCTTTCTGCAATAACCCTTTCCCGTTTATGTTTCCACCCCTTTTGATGAATCCAATCTGATCCGTTTAGAGAACCATTTTTCTCCCTTGGAATTGAAGCCTTATTTCAAACCCTTCCCTACTGTGTTCTTTCGCTTTTGATTTTTATTCAACCTTACTGATGATGTATTCATCTTCAGATCGAATTTATATTTGTTGTGTATAATTGTTTTTGTCCACTATTCATTCAATTATGCACTGGTTCAGGAGTTTTATGCATATTTAATTCCTTTATATGCTTTCCTTAAGTCTACCAGACATACCCAATTGTAAAATTCCTTGCCTTTCAGATTTTACTCTTTGATGCTATCATAAAAGGGCAAGCTTTTACTGTGTAAGCTCTTGTAGAGTACTTGATCTCTCAAGGGTTTTCGCTTAGAGAAGAGAACTGTTTAGTTTCCATCTTTTGGTCTAAGGATGGATCATATAAGCAATGAGGCTAGGGTTGATCTTTTTTCAATTGGCCCTTCTGGTATTCTTGGCAGAACAATTGCTTTCAGGGTTCTCTTCTGCAAGTCTATGTCACAATTGAGGCATCAGATACTGGTTGTGTTGTTGGATACCTTCCAAAGGTTTAGGGGATTTTGGGCACCCATTGTGTCATGGTTGCATCCAAGAAACCCGCAGGGGATATTGGCAATGATGACAATAATTGCTTTCTTGTTGAAACGCTACACCAATGTGAAGGTGAGGGCGGAGATGGCATATAGGCGGAAATTTTGGAGAAATATGATGAGAGCTGCATTGTCCTACGAGGAGTGGGCTCATGCAGCCAAGATGCTTGATAGAGAGACACCAAAGATGAATGAATCAGACCTTTATGATGTGGAGTTGGTGAGTAACAAGCTTGAAGAGCTTCGCCATCGCCGGCAAGAGGGCTCTCTTCGAGATATAATATTTTTCATGCGTGCAGATCTTGTTAGAAATTTGGGTAATATGTGTAACCCTGACCTCCACAAAGGTAGGCTTCATGTTCCAAGACTAATCAAGGAGTATATTGATGAGGTTTCAACCCAGTTGAGGATGGTCTGCAACTCTGATTCAGAGGAGCTTGCATTGGAAGAGAGGCTTTCTTTCATGCATGAAACTAGACATGCATTTGGGAGGACTGCTTTGTTGTTAAGTGGGGGTGCTTCCCTTGGAGCTTTTCATGTTGGTGTGGTTAAAACACTGGTAGAACACAAACTTTTGCCCAGAATAATTGCTGGTTCAAGTGTTGGGTCCATTATGTGCGCTATTGTTGCCACTAGGTCTTGGCCTGAGCTTCAAAGCTTTTTTGAGGATTCATTGCACTCATTACAGTTTTTTGATCAAATGGGTGGGATTTTTCAAGTTGTGAAGAGGGTCACAACATTTGGTGCAGTTCATGAGATCAGACAGTTGCAAATGTTGCTGAGGCATCTCACAAGCAATCTTACATTTCAAGAAGCATACGACATGACAGGTCGAGTTCTTGGGATTACAGTTTGTTCCCCGAGAAAACATGAACCACCTAGATGTCTTAACTACTTGACTTCACCCCATGTTGTTATATGGAGTGCAGTCACTGCTTCTTGTGCCTTTCCTGGCCTTTTCGAGGCTCAGGAATTGATGGCAAAGGATAGAAGTGGAGACATTGTTCCTTACCATCCTCCGTTTAATTTGGGTCCTGAAAAGGGTTCCACTCCAGTGCGCCGGTGGAGGGATGGTAGCTTAGAGATTGATTTACCTATGATTCAGTTAAAAGAACTGTTCAATGTCAATCATTTTATAGTTAGTCAGGCCAATCCTCATATTTCACCATTATTGAGATTGAAAGAATTTGTACGAGCTTATGGAGGTGATTTTGCAGCAAAGGTATGTTCATGGACTTGGATCCCTATGAATGCATGATAATACATACATGTTGATATGTCTATTTATTGTCATTGCATATATTCTTTTGTTTCTTATATGAATTTTTACTTCTACATTTTTCATTAACCAAGTCTCTGCCCCTAACTAAAAACTTCATTTCCTCTGAGTTGATGAGTAAAAGGTTCCTTGCTGTTAAACTAACAACTTAGAACATTTTGACATCATTTGATTCTTATAGCTGATGAACCCATGTAGGGGGAAAACCCTTGGTGGTTGTAGTTGGTGTTGAACTGATGAATGTGATTTGGGTGTGTTTTGTATGTTACTACGTTTGCTTATGAGAGTCCACCAGTCAGTGAAATATTACGCCAAGTATTTACTGTTTAATGGTTAAACCACCATGGAGTTTTTATTGCCTCTACAGTACTTTTCCCAGCCAGTTTCATGGGGAAATTGACACATTCAGATTTTCGATGACTAAAACACATTGCTGCCATTGCCATTTACTTACACATACAACTTATATTTATTGATGTCTGGTAGTGTAATCCAATAAGCTGGTGGCTTATTAGTGTCTTGGTGCATAAATTGAGTAACAAACTGGTCCAGCAGCTGTATATTGAAATAATGGTAAAAATTTTCTTAGGAATATGTTACCATTTGTATGCAAACTTGAACACATACATGATTTCCAATATGAATATTTACTGGCATATACAGAATTCTCAAGTTCAAATTATGCTGTGTAACTTTTATGCACGCCCCTCCCCAACTTGATTGCAAAATGGTGGTATCTTTCAGCAGTTGTTTCAATAAGCAACACACTTGTTTATCATTGAATCTTCAGTTTCCTGCTGCCCTACTATTCTGAATATGCAACGATAATAATTCAATGTGGTTTTCAATTCTGTAGCTTGCTCATCTAGTAGAGATGGAGGTGAAACATAGATGTCATCAAGTTCTGGAACTCGGTTTTCCGTTGGGTGGACTTGCCAAACTGTTTGCTCAAGACTGGGAGGGTGATGTAACAGTTGTTATGCCTGCAACTATTGGTCAGGTATGTGCCTAAGAAAAATTAAATAAACTACTCGGTTATGTTAGAAGATAAAACAAATAACCAGTGTTTATCGAAAATTATTAGTAATTTATTTTATTGGGGAAGATTCAGTTGAATTGTGATTAATTTGTGTATGTTGTCTTTTCTCTGTCATTCCTGC